CCGATTTCCTCCGCAGTTTCGTGATCCTGGTTTTTGGGGATCAGGAAACTGCGGAGGAAATCGGGCGAAGCCGCGGGTCAAATGCAGCCCTGCAGCCCCGGGTGTGAAATTGACATGTTTGTGTTGGGGCAAACGGCGCTGTGCTGCGAGGCAGCTGTAGTGAGAAATCGCCCCAGGTATTTCCCAACCCAGAGCTGGCAACCCGATTTTTTGCGGAAGGCCGAATCCTGCCCACACCAGCATCCGCACAGCACCGGCTGGCTAATGAGCCACTTCAAATCCGCGGAGCAGGTGTGCCTACGACAGTCCCTCTGATTCCGGCCCAGCGATCGTCATCCGTGTTTTTGCAGCCTTCCTGGGAAACTTAATCAATGGCCACATCTTTGCCAGCCTTTTTTAACGGTGTGCGCCAGTCTTCTTAGATGCCAGTCTTTAAATAATCCGAGGCTGCTGTGGCTCTTCCCCCCCCCAAAAAAAATTACAGACCTCCCGCCGCCTCCCCGACGCTCAATACTCACTATCTAAAACCGTGCTTGAGTGCTCCTTCTCAAAAAAACTCGGCAAGCTCATCTTCCCTATCAAGCGCTCCAGAAGAAATATGTCAATAAGTTGTTTAGCGGCAAAAGCCGTAACCTGTGGGAGACAGGGACAGACACCCGCGTCATGTTACGGGAGGGAAAGAAACTCCTCCCTGGCAGCTGGTTTACAAGATAGTGGCGGCCGGTAGAAAGGCCTCTCTTAGGAGTGTGCCATCAAGACACAAGAAGAAGAAGAAGAAGAAGAAGAGATTGGATTTATACTCCACCCTTCACTACCCTCCACCCTTCACAAAGGAGTCTCAGAGCGGCTTACACAATCTCCTTTCCCTTCCTCTCCCCACAACAGATACCCTGTGAGGTAAAAGAAGAAGAGATTGGATTTATACATCCAAAGGAGTCTCAGAGCGGCTCACAAACTCCTTTCCCTTCCCCTACCCACAACAGACACCCTGTGAGGTAAAAGAAGAGATTGGATTTATACCCCATGGCCCTTCACTACCCAAAAGTGTCTCAGAGCAGCTTACAAACTCCTTCCCCTCCCCACAACAGACACCCTGTGAGGTAGGTGGGGCTGAGAGAGCTCTGACAGACACTGCTCTTTTTCAAGGACAGCTTATCAGAACTACGGCTTGCCCGAGGTAATCCAGCCAGGTGCAAGTGGAGGAGTTGGGGAATCAAACCCGGTTCTCCCAGATTAGAGTCCGCGCACTTAACCACTACACCGAACTCAATAACAAGCTCAAGCGGCCCAGCTCCCAAAAGCAAAACCCCCCTCCCCACGGGGGTCCCCAACATGGTGCCCACGGGCGGCAGGGTGCCTGCCAGCACCTTTCCTGGCCCCTGCAAAGTATTTTGAAAATGTGGGTGGTGCCAGGTGGGGGTTTTAGACTGTCTGCTAGAGGTGATCTGATTGGTCGTGCGGATCTAAAGACACCCTGCTAAGCAGAGCTGCTGCCTGAAACGTTGATGAACTGCTAATTCATTGATGCATCACTTCACTCCCTGACGTTTTGGGGTCGGTCCCGCCTTCTGTGGTAGCCATTCTGTGGTTGGTGGCACCTCCTACAGCAGTTGCCGGATCCGGGCTGGGAAACACCTGGAGATTTTAGGGGTGGAGCCTGAGGAAGGGGGAGCTTAGGGAAGGGAGGGAGCTAAGCAGGGTATAATGCCACAGGGCTGCCATTTTCTTCAGGTGAACTGATCTCTGTCGCCTGGAGATTAGTCGTAGTAGCAGGAGATCTCCAGCCACCACCTGGAGGCTGGCAACCCAAGACAGCAGCCATTCGGTGGTCGCGGCCTTCACCCTGTGTCAAAATTCCGAAGATGCCCACGGGCTCCGAAGGGCTGGGGACCCCTGCCCTAAGTCATAGAAATACGTCTCTTTCTCGCACATTTTGGAAAGAAAACTCCCAAACCCTATGCCCGCTGCAGTCCAATGCTCCCTCTACGCTGTGGAGTCTTGTGAGCAAAAATTCTACTTTGCGAGCTGCTGGCGTTGAAGTGGTGAGTGTGCGATTTGCCCAGTGCATATTTTTGTTTGCTCTGGAGCCCTCCTTCCTGGGCTAAGACAAAAACGTGCGAGCCGGAGGCTAAAAAAACTGTGAGCTAGCTCACACTCACTCAGCTTAGAGGGAACACTGGTGGCGACCTTTCCTGGGGCCAGAACTGGAGACGGCTGTTTACGCTTGGGACGCCTACAACCGTTTCCAGCTGAAGTCGAATTCAGAAAATGAGCTCGAGGCGTACTTTTGTCTGACTGAATCTGTAATAAACACAATTATTTCAGATTAACCGGGAAATCTAACTGCGATGTGGCATTTTTAACTGTCATCTTACACAGGCCTGGTTTTTTTGATGAGATACGCTCCATCTCTTTACATGACACCAAAGTTATGGGGCAGCCTTAGTGCGAATCAGTGTGCCCTCTAAGCTGAGTTAGTGTGAGCTAGCTCACAGTTCTTTAGCCTCCGGCTCACACATTTCTACCTTCGCTCAGGAAGGATGGCCCCAGAGCAAACTAATTTAGGCAGCAGCCAAATGGCTCCCTCACCACTTTAATGCCAGGAGCTCACAAAGGGGAATATTTGCTCACAAGACTCCACAGCTTAGAGGGAGCATCGGTGGGAATCTGCTTGCTTCTTGCCAGGAATGCGAACAAATGTTCTGAGTTTACAAGAGACAATGATCCGTGGTAGACCAAATGGCACAGGGTAAAGTTGTTAATGAACTCTACTTCCTCAGCCATATGTTCTACCTGCCCCCCTTAAACGTTTTTTTGTCCTTGAGCTGGGGGACTTTAGGGACAGGGGCAGAAGTATGGTTCCTGCCAGCATTTCTGTTGTCCCCTTCTCACCTCCCTTCCCCAAGAGACGTGCTGGGACTGAGATACCCGCATGGACAAAAAGCCACGTGGGACGGAGCTGCAGCAAGGACGGCAAATTGGGTGGGACCGTGCCTTACTCCCTCTTGCACCAGTGGCAAAAACTACTGTGACCCAACCAAGATATCCCCGCAGCCCCAACCACTGATTTCCTTCTCCAGAACTGTGACAATTCCATGCATGAGGTGGAAGAAGAAGAGAAGAGAAGAAGAGATTGGATTTATACCCCGCCCTTCACTTGGAGTCTCAGAGTGGCTTACAAACTCCTTTCCCTTCCCCTCCCCACAACAGACACCCTGTGAGGTGGGTGGGGCTGAGAGAGCTCTGACACAAGGTGCTCTTTTTCAAGGACAGCTGTGCCAGAGCTTGTGACTGAACCAAAGTCACATCAGCAGGTGCAAGTGGAGGAGTGGGGAATCAAACCCGGTTCTCCCAGATTAGAGTCCGCGCACTTAACCACTACACCAAACTGGCTCTCAGTTTGGAGTGACTCAGTCAAGGAAGCCACAGCCCTCAGTTTGCAAGACGATTGCGCCCATGTTGGTTCAATAAAGCATGGGACCACTTCGCCATGGAAAAAGTTTCAGATCGCATCCGACAGTTGGAAATATATCCTAAACGTTCCAATCTTATGGAAAAGTGGTCCCCATTTCTTGACTACGTTATGGCAACTGACTGCCAATCGCACAATCCAGCATATTTAAACATACTGCACTCATAATTCACATTAGGTGTTCTTTTTTTTTAATAAGTTTTTATTATTATTATTAGTCTGAACAATATATTCAACAGTACATTCAGAACACAAATTAATACCATGCAACAATCAACATTCTCAAACATTAGGTGTTCTTATTTGCATCATACCTCTAACACATCATTTGTAGTAGGTGCTGTAGTCATTTCGTAGAAAAAGAGGTGCAGGAGCTCATTAGCATAACTCATTTGCATATGCCACACCCCCTGACATTACCGGAAGTGTGTCAGAAGACAACACCCACTGCTCAGGCTCCACTGGACTCTTTTGGATTGCTAGCTATTGGGGGTGGGGGTGGAATGTGCAGATCTGTCCTCGCAGAGGAGGGAGAGCTTGTACCTGAATAAAACTTGATCTTAAAGGTGCCACTGGACTGTTTTGGACCGGGGGTGCCTTCGGTTTGAGCAACTTCCTTCACCGCTTCCTAGCCCAGATATTCCAAAGAAGATAAGAACATAAGAGAAGCCAAAGTTGGATCAGGCCAAATGGCCCATCCAGTCCAACACTCTGTGTCACACAGTGGCCAAAAATACCAGGTGCCATCAGGAGGTCCACCAGTGGGGCCAGGACACTAGAAGCCCTCCCACTGCTGCCCCCCCCTGAGCACCAAGAATACAGTGCATCCCTTGCCCTAGACTGAGCAACAACGGCAAACTAAGGGCACTTAAATTGTGTTATCTGTATGTAGCATTGTACAGAACTTGAGACAACTAATTTACAGTTTATTTTGGTACAGAATCTGGGTTACTCCAGTGCAGAGTTTTGAATAACGAAATTCTGAAATATCCCAAGTTCTTTCTCCCATGCCAAGCCAACAGCAGGGTTTGATTTGCTTCCCAGTTTAAAAAGAGAACTTAAAAATGCCACTTTGATGCGGAGATATATAAAGAAAGGGAAATGGTTTGCTTGAGCACCGGGAAGAGGAATTGACAGGCAGGGTAAACACTTGTGGCGCATGATTTATAGATTACACCCTGTCATGTAGCAGAAAACTCAGCATGCATAGCAATAGATTTGGTTTCTAATAAGGAAAAAAGGGCATTACAATTTAGTGTAGCTCCTTGCTGACGTACACGCAGAGACGCTTGTTTGTCGAGACTGCTTTGGCAGATCAGGGGAGGCGAACGTGCTCTTGCCTGAGATGCAAATAAATGAAGACAGGTCTCTGCATTGGACCCGACTCTAATGGCAATTTTCTTCTCTCTGTCCGTCTTTCTGCAAGTAATTAGAATGTGAAGGACAGAGCAGGGCTCAGGGATGTGCCTTAACAGGGAAATGAATCTCAAAGAGAATCGGTGCCAAACAGACAGCGGCGGGCGGCGGGAGAGGTGAACTCATTCAGTGTAGCAAGCAGAGGGGAGTGTGCAATCCCCTGCTGCTCTCGGGGAGCAATTAGAAGCAATGAGATTCACATTATTAATGGCAATTAATATTAAACCTGGAATTGCAGCTGGAAGCCAAAAGAGCTCTAGAGAGGGTAATGGGGAGAAACGCTGCAGGATATATCAATTGAATTTGTTCTCAGAAGGGCAAAAGTTTAACATCTTGGTCCTTTGTCACTGAGACGACCCACTCGCTTCCCTCCGACACCCCCCCCCCATCCACTGCTCATGTGTCTTCCCGCAAAGAGTTTTTCCATTTAATCTACAAGGTGAATGACCCCTTGTTCAGTGGAATGTGTGAGGTTAGTTCACTCTGTCTCAAAGTTCTGATCAACCAGGGGAGATGTACACGGAGTGCCGTCTGCCAGCCATCCAGCATGTTTCCACAGTCGGGGGTCCCTTGGGGCTGACCAGACTACACTGCACAGTCTTTTCATTTCCTCCCAGCTGACAGTTGTTTTAAAATCTCTGGCACAAGGGGTCCTGGCAGGCGTCACCTCTCCTTCCATTCGTATCGAAACTGCATTTGGGAGAAATGGGGGCTGAGAGATAAGGGAGGCAAAGGTGTGTTTTGC